TTCCAGGGAGTTCCCTGGTGGTTCAGTGGTTAGGACTTGGTGCTTTCACTGCTGTGGCCCTGGGTAAGATATACAGAAAGAAAATTCCATTTACAATTGCATCAAAAGAATACTTTGACAAAGTAAGTGCAGAAGTTATACCCTGAAAACTACAACACTGCTTAAACAAGTTAAAGAATAATTAAATAGTGGAGGGACTTTCCTGGTTGTGGTGCAATGGCTAAGGTTCCACACTCCCAATTCAGGGGGCCCAGGTTCAGTCCCTGGTCGAGGAACTAGATCCCACATGCATGCTGCAACTAAGAGTTTGCATGCCACAACTAAGGAGCCCGCCTGCCGCAACTAAGACCTGGTGCAATCAATTAAAAAAAAAGAAATAGTGGAAAGACATCCATGCTCATGAATTGGCAACCTTAATATTTTTTAAATGGCAGTACTCTCCAAATTGATCTATAGATTCAACATAATTCCTACCAGAATATCAGCTGACTTCTTTGTAGAAAATAATATAACCCTAAAATTAATATGGAAATTCAAGGGACCCAGAATAACCAAAACAGTCTTGAAAAAGAGGAAGAAAATTGGAACATTCACACTTCCCGATTCCAAATCTTACTATAAATCTACTGTGTGGTATTGGCATAAGGATAGATATATAGAGCAAAAGAATAGAATTGGGAGTACAGAAATAAACCCATGTAGCTATGGGCAACTGACTTTTGACAAAGGTGCCAAGACCATTCAATGGGGAAAGACTCGTCTCTTTGACAAATGGTGCTGAGACAACTGGATAATCACATGGAATAGAATGACGTTCAACCCTTACTTCACACCATATACAAAATTTAACTCAAAATAGACCATAGACCTAAATATAAGGGCTAAAACCATAAAACTCTTAGAAGAAAACGTAGGGGTAAATCTTCACAGCTTTGGATTTGGCAATGATTTCTTACATATGGCACCCAAAGTACAAGCAACAGAGAAAAAAAGATAAATTAGGACTGAACCAAAAGCAAAAAAAATTTTTTTGCATCAAAGGGCACTATGAAGAGAGTGAAAAGACAGCGCACAGAATGGAAAACAATATTTGCAAATCATATCTCTGATAAGTGTTTAGTATCCAGAACATATAAAGAGATCCTACAACTTAACGAGAAGACAGGGACTTCCCGGGGGGCGCAGTGGTTAAGAATCCACCTGCCAATGCAGGGCACATGGGTTTGAGCCCTGGTCTGGGAAGATCCCACATGCTGCAGAGCAACTAAGTCCACATGCCACAACTACTGAGCCTGCACTCTAGAGCCTGTGAGCCACAACTACTGAGACCACAAGCTACAACTACTGAAGCCCGCACACCTAGAGCCCATGCTCTGCAACAAGAGAAGCCACCACAATGAGAAGCACGCACATTGCAACTAAGAGTAACCCCCACTCGCCACAACTAGAGAAAGCCCACGTGCAGCAATGAGGACCCAACCCAGCCAAAATTAATTAATTAATTAATTAATTAATTTAAAAAAACAAAAACAAAAAACCACAATGAGGGAAGTCCCTGGCAGGCCAGTGGTTAGGACTCCACGCTTTCAGGGCCATGGGCCCAGGCTCAGTCCCTGGATGGGGGAACTAAGAGCCCACAAGCCGCGGGATGTTGCCAAAAGAAAAACAAAACAAAACAAAGGAAAAAAAACCACAATGAGATAAGAGGTACTACTTCACACCTACTAAGATGGCTAGAATCAAACAAGAAGAAGAAGAAGAAAAGGAAAATAAACATTGGTAAGGATGTGGAGAAATTGGAGCCCTTGCAAATTGCTGATGGGAATGTAAAATGGTGCAGCTGTTGTGGAAACATTTGGTGGTTCCTCAAAATTTTAAACATAAGAATTACCATATGACCCAATAATTTTACTCCTAGGTGAATACCCAAAAGAATTGAAAATAGGTACTCAGATACTTGTTCACGAATGTTCCAGGAAGCACTATTCATAATAGTTAGAAGGTAGAAACAACTCAAATGTCTATTATTGGATAACTATAAATAAATGTAGTAGTATATATATACAATGGAATATCCAGCCATATAAAGGAATGAAGTATTGATATAAGCTACAACATGGAGGAACCTCAAAAACATTATGCTTAGTGAAGAAGCCAGACTGAAAATGTCATGTATAGGTTTCCTTTATATGAAACAACCAGAATTGATAAATCCAGAGACAGGAAGTAGATTAGTGGTTGTCAGGAGACTGGGGAGGAGGAGTGGGAAGTGACTACTGATGGGTAAGGAGTTTCCTTTAAGGGTGAGGGAAATGTCTTGGAACCAGTTGTAGGTGATGGTTGCACAACTTTGTGAGTGTACCAAATGCCATGGCATTGTCTGCTTTAAAATGGTTAATGGTCCATTTTGTTACTTGAATTTTACCTCTTAGGAAAAAAACCCCCAAAACTGTTGAGCTTAGAAACCACTTTTTCAGTAGTGCCAAGTATTTATTATCTCACTTAATTCTGATAACCAACTCTGTGAGAATGGATAGATTGCCCCCTACCCCACCATATTGATATTGTCCTCCAAACCGAATTCCTATTTCATATATATATATAAAGTATATGCTCGACCGCATAGTGTTTTTGAGAGGAGGTACATACCAACTAAATCTCATAGGCCTCACACTGTCCTTATACAAGATAAAGGAAGTGGCCCAATGCTAAAAGGCTCTTCTGTTAGTGCTAAAATTCTACTTCAACTCTACTGTGCCTGTCTAATCACTACAGGCTGCACTTCTGGTGAGCAAGGATCACTTTCAGCAGAAGTGATTTCTTTATGGTCCAAACTCCAAGTGAAGAGGATTTACTAATACTGATTATGTACTCTTGAATGAGCACTTTGCTCTTTACATTGTACTGTTTCCCCTTTAGCAACTGTAGTATTGCATAAAAACCCAAAGAAATCACATAGGCCCACCATATTACCAAAAGTTGAAACTAGGTTGCCATTCCTAAGACTTTTTTGCTTGCCAGTAGCAGAGATTGCCAAATTCTCTAAACCTGTTTTTAAATAATAAAGGTGCTCTATGGAGAGTTCACGGCCATTGGTGTCTCATGGACCTGTGTATTGACCTCGGTAGTCCCACATCTTTAATGCGGGGCCCTAAAAGTTACTTAATGTCCCTCTCAGGTTTCTCCCCTACAGATGGGAAATAACCGATATTAGTTTGCAATGAGGAAGCTTGCAACTTATTCCTGTCATCTCAGGAATATTAGGGCACCCCTTGTGCAGCCTGAGTAATGACTCCCCATCTTGGGGAATGAGGAAGGGCCTGGTTTAACCTAAGTTTACGAATAAAATGATTCATGTCATTTCACACAGGGTGTGTGGGGGGGTGAGGGTGGTAGTGAAAGAACTTAATTGAAATTCAGATTCAATGGCAAGACTTGTATTACTTTTACAGGAAAAGCAAGGGAATTCCGTGGTGGTCCAGTGGTTAAGACTCTGCACTTCCACTCCTGAGGGTGCAGGTTCAATCCCTGGTTGGGGAACAGAGATCCCGTGTGATGTGGCCAAAAAGGAAAAAAAAAAAAAAAAAAAAACAGTTTCATAGTTTTGTTATCCTTTTTCAGGCTACTGATGGTCAGTGCCACCATTTTGGCCTCAAGAGAACAAGCTTCAAAGGGCATGCATAACCTGTGACTAAGCCACATCTATGCAGTAAAAGGAACGATGTTTAGAAAAGATTCATAGGCACCGGTTTCTTCTTACTAAGCAGTTTATTTGTTTTTAGTTCTAACATTGACTTTTTCATAAATATTCATCTCACATCGCCAATAAGGCTCCTTGAGAGCAGTGCCCATATCTAATTTTTATCATGAATTAGCACCTGGTACACAACAGATGCTCAAGTATTCTGCTACCTCTTTCCTAACAATTTCCCACTGGCCAATGCTTCCCCAAATGTGACAGTTCAAAGGTTTATAGGAAAACAGATCCAGCGGTATCACTTCAAAAGGGAGGTATCTTTCAATTCTTTTGATTATATGAAAGTATAACTGTTGCTTACTACCCTTTAACACCTGCTGGCTTTTCTTTCTTACAGATTCAGAAACTTCCAAAGCAACAGTATTTATCTAAAATAAAATGTTTATTCATTTTCCATGGACAGTATCTATGTATGGCAATTTATACTGGTTTTCCATTCATGAGACATCAAATTTTCTTTTTAAATATATTTAAGTAGAAGTAACTCAATTTAAAGAAAAACAAAACCGAAAAAACCCTGAAGTAATGCAGAGGTGGAACACAAATGAGGTAAAACATTGTAAAGGTGATTCACCAAGGACTAAAGATTGGGAAACAATGCCCTAAGCAAAGTGTTCCCATTCTTGAGGGGTAAGTAGGTATGCTTCCAATGGTGCAGGTGTGTCAGATTCATCAGGCCTTTGAGAGTTCAGTGATGTGACAGGATCAACATCACGTTAACAAGATTCTGCTATATCTTGTGAAGGAGGACCACATACCATACAGTGTACCACAAAAGCAGAGATCAAAAACTGAAGCCAAAGCAAATTCTTGAAACTTAAAAAGAAATCCTTTATAAAGCAAGATATATCCTAGTATTGAACTGCTCCCAGACCAAAAAATAATACGGGGCGGTGGGGGTGGGGGGTGTTGGTGGTTGTGGTGGTGCATTCAGCCACTGGCTGTATTTAACAAGCAAAGTGTCACCAAAATCTACTTATCCAACTTTTATTATTCCAACTACAGTGTAAAGAGAGATGTCACAGCCACTTGTGGGAATGTACAACTTCTGCAGCCTTCAAACCAAGGCAGAAAGCCACGCAACTCTTAAGACAAGCCTGTGAGGTACACTTTTCTGAAGGAAATGGCTGGGTCTCTTCACCAAAATAGTATTCCAGCATCATATACCCTAGTACTGCTTATAAACCAAAGAAGAAAGAACAATGCATTATATAATACATCCCCTGGAACAGGGAAAGGAGGATCATTCTGTGGGAATAGCATCTTTGGACTCTGCATCAGTTTGTTCCACTTCGGCTTCTGCAGCAGCTTGAACAGGAGCAGTGACTGTCAAGGTGCCTTCCGACTCTGCTGCCAGGGTTTCCACTTCACCTCCAGCCTCAGCAGCTTCACCTCCAGCCTCAGCAGCTTCACCTCCAGCCTCTGCTTCAGTGTTGCCCTTCTCAGGTGCCATTCCACAGGGTGCGTCCGCTTCCAGCAGCTCTCCAGGGTGGGGACCACTAGTGGTCTCAGCTGTGTCCGTAGGGGCTTCCCCTTCCGCCAGCATTTCATTACTTTCCGGAGTAGGTGCTCCTTCCCCATCTACTGCCCTCACTGCTGCCGTAATCACCTCAGCTAAGACCTCGGCAGCTACCTCCTCTGGTGTCTCTTCCTTATCCTCACCTCCTAAATTGTCATCTCCTTCTATTTCTGGATCAACGGCTTCACTGGTGAAAGGATCTTCACCCTGGCCAAGAAGAGGAAACACAGGTTAGTGCAGTCTAAGGAACTGTCCAAATGAGAGACTGAGGCTCAGGTTGCTGGGAGTTTATCTTTTTATAACGGGCAGAGTCAACAAGAGAAACCTTTGAAATCACACCAGGTGAGTCAATCCTACAGCTGCTCAGAGCCTACAGACTCAGAAAAGACATCTCAGGAAAGCTTCACCAGTACTATTTTGCACTTATTATTCAAGCATGTAATGGTGAGGAAAGGTTTAAAAAGACCTAGATTTTCTTAACCCAATTAAAGAAAAAAAAAAAAAAAAAGCCTCATTTTAACAGGAAGTTAAGGCTCTTTCTTAAGTTTCGATTAAGCACTCAGCCCAGGCATGAAGGTTATCCCCGTTTCACAGAGAAGGATATGAGACTTAAAGATTGTTAACTTGCCAGGTCACACAGCTATTAAACATCAGTCAGGATTCAATCCAAGTGTACCTCTCTCAGAAGCTGAATTTCTCATGAGCATATGCTAAAACTATGTCTAGTTTAGAAAAAGTAAACTAAACATTATCACTAGCAGATTAGAAAACGTGTTTTAAAATACGCTGTTTAGAGTTCCCCCGATGGCCTAGTGGTTAGGATTCTGGGCTTTCACTGCCATGGCCCGGGGTTCAATCCCTGGTTGGGGAACTGAGATCCCGCAAGCCGCAAGGTGGGACCCAAAACAAAAACAAAGACACTTATTTAGAAGCTTGAGTCTACAGCTGACTCCAGGAACTTTAAGTCTGTTTAAGCCACAAAGTAAACACTGATCAGTTATGGTTCTTAAACCAGTTATTTAGATTCTATCCCTTTATGGTTGAAATGAACTGTCAAACACTGAAGCAGTTAATAACTGAGAGGAGGGCAAACACATCCTAGTCAGGTTATGCTGAATCTTAACTCCCAGCCCTGAACGCTGAAGTCATGGGGCTGAGCACTTAGCAAAATGTGCTTCCCAAGGAGGAACCAGAGACTCTTCCGACCAGACTCCTCGCTAGGGTACCTACCTCTTTGGGACTTTTTTTATTACTCTGCTCCTGTTACTCCGTAGTATGGCACCACTGGCTCTTCCCTCCCCCTCGTTCCCCATCTCATTGTTGGTTGTCTCTGCCCGCAAAACCTTGTTTTAGCTTCTACCTGGACAATTATCAGTTACTTTGGTTTGTTGCTTTGTTTTGAAGCATCTCACCAGCGTTTTGCTTGGTATGTTATAGATAGTCAGGGTTTCTCATGGTGAGAGTCAGCACCATCGCACAGATTAATCAAGTAGGACCAAATTCCAGAGTTCCCAGGCAAGCAGTGAGTCTCAGGAAATGCGCAGTTGTGGAATCCCAAGCCCGATACATTCCAACATCTCTCAATTCTTCAAAAGACTCAGAAATGCCAAATACTGCACTCTGGATATAATTCCAAACCCACAGAGTTAGTTCATCCTCCATCTCAAAAGCTCTTCCCATCTACTGGACTCCTAAGCACAAACCTTGAGGTATTTTTCCAGCATCTTCACAATATGTCTGTTGTTCAAAACACTCTTAGCCACATGGAGACTTGTTTTCTTGAACTGTTCAGCAGCCAACTACAAAGGGAATCAAACATGGGCTTTTAAAAATGGCATGCATAGAGAAGCATGAGAACAAATCAGCCTGGTTACACTGAGTTGCTCTGAGATTAGTCCTATGCAGAGAGACAACTAACATCTTTCTTCACCATGGTAAGTCCCCAGATGCTAGGCTCCAATAATGAAAGGAAGAAGGCACTGGAGAGGCACCAGAACTGAGATTGTGAAATAGTGTAGAAAAGTCTGATAATCTCGAAAGACAAAAGCACAGGCACACGACTGATGGATACCATGTGCACAAGCAAGGATGAAATAAGAACATTTACAGATCAGAAGCTATGTGGACTCAGTAGGGGAAAAGGGCAAGCTTTTTCTTCAGTTTTTTGAGTTTTATTGACTTTACAAGTAAATTCTAGAGCAAAAGTCTGAATGCTGCAACCATTTGACTGTTCTAGAGCTTGACACATTCATGTGATAATCCCATATTTGTACAGTGGTTTTTGGCTGATCTTTAATAATACCAGGAGACGGGTGGGCAGGTAGCTCCAAATTGGTAGTCAGGGTAAACCGACGATAGACAGAGGTGCTCAACCAGGGCTTGGCGAGCCACAGCCCGCAGACCAAACGTGGCCACACCCATTCCTTTACTTATGGCCTGTGGCTGCTTTTGCCCATCAGCAGCAGACTTGAGGCGTTAGGCGGGCGTTAGGCAGACACCTAATGGCTTGCAAAGCTGAAAATATTTACAATTTGACCCTTTTAAAAAAAAAAAAATTGCCAACGCCTTGAGCTAAACATTTAGCCTCAGGCCCCATCAGCTAGTTAGGATCAAACCAGTCCTTAGTCCTGGGTCCCTTAGGCCATTCTGCTCTGAGTGGCCCTCAGCCTCAGCTTATAAGAAATCCAGTTTTTCAGCAACTGGGGAATTTACCCGTGTGGTTTACAAAGAACATTCTCAACCCAGGAGAACTGCAGCTACTGGATTTAGTCAATCTTAAGCAACACATTTTTCTCACGTTTTAATAGAAACTGGGGTGCATTTTTTTTTTTTTTTTTTTTTTAAAATTAATTTTTTTTTTTTTTTTTTTTTTTTTACAAATAGCTTATTTTTTTTTTTTTTTTTTTTTTATAATACACAATGTATTTATTTATTTATTTATTTATGGCTGTGTTGGGTCTTCATTTCTGTGCATGGGCTTTCTCTAGTTGTGGCAAGTGGGGGTCACTCTTCATCGCGGTGCGCAGGCCTCTCACTATCGCGGCCTCTGTTGTTGCGGAGCACAGGCTCCAGACGCGCAGGCTCAGTAATTGTGGCTCACGGGCCCAGTTGCTCCATGGCATGTGGGATCTTCCCAGACCAGGGCTCGAACCTGTGTCGTCTGCATTGGCAGGCAGATTCTCAACCACTGCGCCACCAGGGAAGCCCTGGGGTGCATTTTTAACAACCACTTATGAAATGATGGACTTGATGGTATATGGCAAAAGCCCCTAAAGATGTTAGCTTCCCCATAAGAGACAGAAAGTTCGGAACCCCTCCCACCAGCAGCCAGGACTGCCTGCCCCACCCAGCATCAGGGGGGCCCTCACCCGGCGGTTGTGATTGTGGTCGACAGAGTGCAGGTGCCGCTGGAGGAGCTGGGGCTGCGCAGGGATCAGCATGTCACAAGCCAGGCAGTGAGCAGCCTCTATTTTCTTGAAGAAGTGCTCCTGGCCAATCCCTGTTGACAAAACCCAAGTCTTGTGGGATTTGGGACAGCATGCAAGTGATGCTTTCTTCCCACTTACTCCCCATCAAGGCCCACATTTTCTCCCTGTAGCCCCTCTCTAAGGATTCAGTTAGGACAGAATCTAAGACGGGCATCACCTGCCCTCCAGAAGGAGTATGGAGACAAATAGCCTCTACACCTGGCAACTTTATACTTAACTTTTCTCATTCTTCTGGTCCTTTCTCTTCATACAAAGGAGAAAAAAACATCAGAGTGCTTAATGTCACTCCAATAAGCTGCCTGTAGAGGTGTCATCTACATTAGGCCACACCTGAAGGCTTCTTTCCCCTGCTAAGTGCCCCTCCCACTTGTCTTCACGTCACATTCTCAACCACCCTGAGCTGGGCTCTGTGAGTTGGAATAGCACACACCCCAGGATCACAACTCACCTTTGAAGGGATCTGGTTTTGGTTTTGTGCTTTCCTTCTCCATCAATTCCTGACGCCGCTTCTCAATTTTCTTATTCCTGTTTACAATGTATTCCTAGAGAGGTTGTGAGACGGCACCAAATGAAATGAGGAGAGGGTGACACATGTGGATACTTTTCAACTGCACCAGAGGCAGCCCCCCAAGGGTGACTGCCAAGCCCATGGGGGGCAGTGACAGCCTTATCTCAGCTGCTCCAAGGAAGGGAAGACAGCTATCAGAGCAGCTCCATGGGCAGAATTAGTGGGAACTACAATGACGGGAGCTCTCAGTTGTCCCTCTGACTTCGGGACTTGTACACTGTTATTCTGGAAAACGAAATCTTGACCAAGTTTAGGCCTCTTATTTCCCTTCCCTTCTCTGTGAGGGATCTGACACTTGCAGGATCACTGGGAAATGCCGTGATGGAGGCCAAGCGTGATTTACCTGGAGGAACTCCACCGTCTTGTCAGGCAATTTGGTACTTATAAACCGCAGTGTCTCTTTGTGAAATTTGCTTTGCAGATGCTTCTGGATTTCTTCATCTTCGAAGCTACGAAACTTGCACACGGAACAGGCAAACTGAATCCTGGAGAAGGAAGACAAAAAGAAAAGCAGTGATGCACAGATAACCAACTCATCTCTGCTTAGAAGTGAAATGGAAATGGGAAAACAATTTCTGAATTAAGTCTTCTGACTTGTCACAGGGTGTCAGAGTAGCAGTTGCCCCAAGTTTCCCCACCTTAAGAATGAGAGTACAACCTTGCAAGTTATTTCAGGAAAATGATTCACGTAGCACTTTACTACCTTACCACTCTTTTTGGTCCAAAGGCTCACAAGAGAACAGCCAAAGGTGGAGACTTCAGAACTGTGAACTCCCTAAGTCTCCAGCCCACTGCTCTGGGGGCCTAGTACCTAACTTCAGAGCTTCTCAGATGTCTCCTTCTGCAGCCACTCAGAAGATACAAGGCAACCCCATTTAATACAACGAAGGAACTCCCGAAGACCTCACACAATTCAAAACTCACATAACCTAAGATCAATTCTCCAATGGGACTCAATGTAAAGACATCACAATCAAGTTCTATGAAGGAAAACTGAGGCTTCTTGTGTGCTTTCAAAATCTCACCAAATGCATGCATGCTGTACGGCAAGGGGAGAGCACGCTACAGACCCCCAAGCCCCCACAGTGGGGTGCTGCTTCCCTCAGCTCTGCTCCATTTGGGGTGTAAGAGCACAGGCCCTGGGGCACTCAGGAGTCCTCCTCTGCCAACTTAGAGATCTGCTGGCCCCCAACGCCTGCCTTCTGATCTCTGGACAAGTGCCACAAGACACTCTTGCCTTTGCAGATACCCCCAAAAGAGAAGTGAAGAGGGAAATCTCCCAGGCCCCATGTGCAGGACTATCAGGAAGCTACCAAGGAAATACAGGGTTCCTACTTCCCTGCTGCATCTTTACCTCCCCCATGACAATTTCTCCAAGTTTCTTTGAGGATCTTCAGTCACTAGGGCAGTCTAGAGATTCCTTTAAAAAAGTCATCTCAGTTCCCATGTGGCATGGAAACAGATCTAAAATAGCTGTCATTTTATTCATCTGTTTAAAAACAAGGATTTCAATGAATTCTGCGTAACATTTGGAACTCCTACTTTTCAGTTCCTAGCTTTCCAGCCTCTACTGTTAGCTCTTTCGCTAAGCATTTCTTTGCACAGGGAAACCACTACCCCCATTTAAGCCTCAAGGGCAAGGGTTCCCTTTCAAGTCATCAAGAGAACCTGTGCATAGAGACATAGCCACCTGTGGTCATGGGCCTCATCAACCACGCACTCACGTGGCCACCTGTGGTTTACGGGGAGAGGCGCATGGTGTGGTCACAGCAATGCCCTTTGGGGTTTGCACTTTTGCATTTTTTTCTATTTAGAGACAAAATCTTGAAGGTAGCAACTATACATACATAATCGTCACGTCAAACTCCACAGGTGGTTTGGATTTATTTGGACAAGGCACCCAAAGCACCTTCTTGGCAGCTGTGCTGAATGAACTTCACCTGTCTGGGATGACAGACACAAGCCAAGGAGCAAGGGAACTCCTCACAGCCCTGCAGGAGGGCAATCAAGAGAGCTGCCAGCTGGGAATGTGAGGGCCACACAGACCCACCAGCAAGAATAAGATTCAGTGTGTTTCCCAAGTTTTGTCTCCCATCGACCTGACTTGGATTTCCTGACATACACCTGGAGTCAGAAGATCAAACCAGGCCCCCCCGCCCTGCACTGTGGAGTGATGACAGATGAGCTCAGGGGAGTCTTGACAGTGCTCACCTCCCACCTCGCCTGCCTCCTCACCTGTCAGCTGCTCGGTCTCTCATCCTGTCTCTCCTCCTTTGCTTCTCCCTCCTCTTCTTCACTTCATCATCCTCATCGTCCTTCTCTCCTGCAACAGAAAAGTCCCTTCGAGACACTCTGAGGAGCCTGCGGATGAGCTGAGCACCAGGGCCTTGAATGGGGGCCACAGTTCGGCCACCATACCCCATGCCCTGCCACGGCCTCCACACATGTCGGGGGCAGGACACCCTGAGGTACCAAAGGGCTGTCAAAGGCTCCCAACAGGGGTGGCCTTTGATGAGAACCCTCAGTAGTTCCCAAGGGAGTCACCTCACTCCCCCCATGGTCTGATAAGGCTGGCATGGGCCAGGGACATGGCCCGCCCACCCCACTCACACCATGGCCCACCTGCTCTCTGTGTCGTTCCCTATCTTGCTTTTCTAATCCAGCACCCTACAATTGGGTCCTCTCCCAATGTTACTTAAGGAGAGAAGCAATTCTTCCCAGATAAAGAGGCAGCAGCTGGAAGGCCTCAGAAAATAAAGCAAGCCACTCTACTGCCCTCCGTCCCACCTCGAGGTGGACCACGACAACTGTCCCATTGGCCTCCTCTGAACTAGGGCCTCAGCAGGTCTGACAATCCCTGGTGGCCCAAACTCTATCTTCCACTCACAAAAACCGTCAATCTAGGGCTTTCCCAAGAATATGTGGGAAGCAATCCCAGAAATAAAAATGGGAAGAGACCAACTGGTCCTCCGTCCATCCCGTGGGGCCAGTGTGGGAGCTCCTCTGAGAGCTGTGCAGCCCAGAGTCCCAGCATGAGGTGAGGCCAGGCCAGGTCACAGCGGCTCAGGGCCAGGGCCAGACACTGAAAAAAGGTTGGATAAGCATCTGAACTGTAACCCCTACCCCTGATGCCAGTCACGAGACTGTCCCACGAAGATGGCGACCGGCGTGCGCTGCTCAGAAGCCTCTCAAAAGGGCGTGTGGGATATTTGGCAAGAGGTCACTGCCTGAAACTATTACTGCTGTTTAATAGCAAAGTCATCCCGGGTAGGTAGCAGGACCTGCGCGCAATAAACACGTCACCTTTGCTTTAGCATTTACCCCGCTGCATGAGCTGCAAAATGCTCTCTGTGGTCCCATGCTATAAACATTAACTGCCTCAATAAACAAGGCAGGAGGACCTCAGAGGGTTGGCTAAACCTGAACATATGAGAGAAGGAGCATCTAAGCCAGGGGCCTTCAGAATTTATGGGAGCAGAGTCACACAGGAGGCAGCCTGTGATTCTTAGGGGAAACCAGCTATGGACAGACCCATGGGAACAGGAAAAGAAACAAGTGGCTGCTTCTCCACGTCCCCCTGAAGGGCTTAACACTGCTCTGTTCTTGCTGCTTATTTTGGTCTCTTAGGTTTCCCTCACTCGAACTGGTGAGACCTGCTGAGCAGTGACTGCCTCTGGAGGATCTGGGCCTGAGTGTGCCCGACAGTCCCCCCACTTCCCGAGCTCCCCACCCAGGCAGGTGTCTGAACTCTGCCCCATGCCATGCCAGTGTCCCCACCATAGAGGCTGAGAGCATGGCCCTGGCCTGGCAAGCAAGGGAACTGTGGACAGAATGAAGCCCGGGAGAAAACAGTACAGGGACTTGCACTGGCTAAGGGGGGAGCAGAGAAGACAAGCTGGAGGGCGCCTTTTCTTTTCTCTCTTGCATTTCTGAGACTCTCCCTTCCCTACCACTGCGAGCTATTGCAGACACCCAGAGATGAGTTTCCCCCTGCCTCTGCAGCCTGCACTGAGTGAGGCAAACAGACCTGTCTCCAGCAAGTGTTGCTCCAAACACCGAGGCAAAGCCTCGGGGTGACTGGCATGGCCAAGGCCCACATTGCAGCCATGGCCCCTCTTCTGCCCTGAGCCACAAGCCCCTCCACCCAGGCCCTGGGCTTGCTCAGAAACCCAGCCCGCCTGGGCATTAGGCGGTGAGTGCAAGGTAGCTGGGCAGACACAGGAAAGCTCAAAGGGATGCTGGGTGATGCCTACCTCTCTGCCTCCCGGATTCGAAGAATTCGTCCTCCTAAAAAGGCACAAAGTCAGACCGTGAGGTGGAATTTCTAGAACTCTCCACAACCAGCCCAGCACCCTGCCACCACCTGGTGGTCGCTGTGCCACCAGGAACACGCCCAAAATGTGTCAGGACAAGTCCCACCCAGGGCCATGGGATGGAGCCTGAGTGTCCTCTCACTAGTCCTGGTTGCCTTCTGAGATTCTGTGATGATGACTAACTTGCTTTTTTATTAAAGACACAGTCCAGCTTTTAGTTCTTCCTAAAGCTAGAGAACTACCTCTGGCAAGTGAACGGTTCTGCACATGGGAAGACCAAGAGCCCATCCATCAACTGTGTTAAGCAACCTCAATTTGTAGGAAGCTAGTTTCTGCACTCTTTAATGAAAATGGGCTTTATGAAGTTTCCCAGCTACTTGTTTACGTTATAACAAGCCAGGTATAGATAAAAACGACTCATCTAACTGAAAACTGAAACTGAGGCCATTCCTTAGACATTAAGCTAAAGATTAAATTAGCAATCAGCAGATATGCAGAGATTTTCAGACTCAAGATCTAAGCAACCTAGACATGGAGCAAGCAAGACCCTCAGAAAAGTTGAAAATTCACTGTATCCTGCCCCTTCCTCCCCTTCCCCAAACTCGTCTGACCATCAGAAGCACCTGGATGAAGCCTTCATACACCCAGATTTCCAGGCCCTACCCCAGACCTGGATCAGAATTTGCAGGAGGTGGCGAAGGCTTGCTCCCCAGGTGCTTGTGCATGGTCCTGGCTAAGAGCCAGCCTTCAACACCCATCTCCCATGACTGGTTTTGAGAGCTGAATGACAAGGATGCAGCTCAGCACCAGCACAGAGCTGGCAGCAAATGAGTCTTCGGTGCTTGTTTGAAGCCTCAGCCTACACAGCCACTGCAGTTACCACGTGTATAGCTAGGCACATCACTGCGAGGACTCAGGTATGGCTCGGGAGAGGGCTGGGAAGGTCTTCAAGAAAAGAAGGATTGTTGCAAGTGGAAAACTCTTAGAAACCTAGCTGCAGATCTGATTATTAAATCTACTCATGAGGGCTTCCCTGGTGGCGCAGTGGTTCAGAGTCTGCCTGCCGATACAGGGGACACGGGTTCGTGCCCCGGTCCGGGAAGACCCCACATGCCACGGAGCGGCTGGGCCCTTGAGCCATGGCCGCTGAGCCTGCACGTCCAGAGCCTGTGCTCCGCAACGGGAGAGGCCACAACAGTGAGAGGCCCGCGTACCGCAA